GGACCAACTCGCTCGCTACCAACACTTTACCCAAACCCAGCCCAGACCGACTCGCTCGCTACCAACACTTTACCCAAACCCAGCCCAGACCGACTCGCTCGCTACCAACACTTTACCCAAACCCAGCACGGACCGACTCGCTCGCGACCAACACTTTACCCAACCCAGCCCGGACCAACTCGCTCGCTACCAAGACTTTACCCAAACCCAGCCCGGACCGACTTGCTCGCGACCAACACTTTACCCAAACCCAGCCCGGACCGACTCGCTCGCGACCAACACTTTACCCAAACCCAGCACGGACCAACTCGCTCGCTACCAACACTTTACCAAAATCCAGCCAGGACCGACTCGCTCGCGACCAACACTTTACCCAAACCCAGCCCGGACCAACTCGCTCGCTACCAAGACTTTACCCAAACCCAGCCCGGACCAACTCGCTCGCTACCAACACTTTACCCAAACCCAGCACGGACCAACTCGCTCGCGACCAACACTTTACCCAAACCCAGCACGGACCGACTCGCTCGCGACCAACACTTTACCCAAACCCAGCACGGACCGACTCGCTCGCGACCAACACTTTACCCAAACCCAGCACGGACCGACTCGTTCGCGACCAACACTTTACCCAAACTCTGCGGTCCTATGTTGGTAACGTTTTGCCAAACCTCCCTTTTTGAACGAGTGCGTTTGTGTATTAATTGCCGTTGATACCACCGCAATGTGCAACATTTTTTTAAAATTTCCCCCCTGCGAGATAGCGCAGCGAGTCGCGCGCTAACCCACAGAGACTCACGGCGCTCGAGAGTCGAACACAGATCGACACGCGGCCTCATTTGCATAACGCACGCGTTCCCTACCCTCAGCTGATGCGAGCGGATTCATCCTTAATTGAAATTGGAGAGATGAGACCTCTCCCTCCCTCCCTCTCCGAAAGTTGTGTGTCTGCAGCAAGCGCGTGTATGTGCACCTATGGACGCGCGCGCGCGCGCGTGTGTGGGGGGGGGGGGGGGGGAGTGCAGTGGTTAGCACGCTGTGCTACGAACCCGGCGACCCGAGTTCGATTCCTGCTCACGGCCACCCCGGGTGACGATTATTTGAACCGGTCCTGGGCCTCCCCTAGGTGACTCAGCCTCAAACGAGTAACTCGTGCGGTGTGAACATCGCCACTGGGGAGACAAAGGCGGCCGGGCGTGATGAATCCAAGTCTCGCTTACAGCACCGCCTCAACAGTCTGTTAAGGCTATACGGCGATCTTTGTCTGTGTCTCTTTGTGTGTGTCTGTGTGTGCCTGTGTGCCTGTGTGTCTCTGTGTATGTCTAAGTGTGTATATGTGTGTCTCTGTGTCTACATTTTGTGTATGTGTATGTCTAAGTGTGTCTGTGTGTCTCTTTGTATGTTTAAGTGTGTCTGTGTGTCTGTGTCTGTCTCTTTGTGTCTGTATGTCTCAGTGGCAACCTTTATAGGAGCACTTGCCATAACTGCCCGTCGGGGGTTACACGGTGGAATCTTTGTCTTTGTGGACGCGAACATCCTCTCGTGGAATCACGTGGCATCCCAAGCGTGGCGGTGTCGTGCGGAGGGAATGGCTTCTCTCCGCCTCACACCCCGAGTTTATGAGCTGAGTTCATCCGCTTCGGCGACGCCGATTTAAACTCTTAATGCACTCGTCCATTCTATCAGCCAATTGATTTCCTTAATGTCCGAGCGTTCGGATATTGAGGGTCATAAAACAAGCGAGGGGTAAGTTCCACGGGCCCCCTGCTTTTTTCGCGGAGAGATTGGAGGAGGCGGAGAGGGTGGCATGCAGAAGGCGGAGATGGGCGATGTGATGGAGGTGGTGGAGGTGTCGAGGGTGGAGATTGATGCGGCGATGGAGATGCGTGTATGTTGAGCTTCTTTCGCGCCGTACGTGGCTGTCCGTGCTATTCCGAGGTGCGGGTGATATGAACGAGGTTGAGGAGACTGACCCTGGATTAATTGTTTTAACAAGGTGACTGAGCACAGACCCAATGAGCCAGTACCGTAAAGCGGCCAGCAACAAACAGCACCGTTATCACATTATCTAATGTGACGCGGTTTTTATTTATTTAATTCAGCGAGGTTTTAAAGACTGAGACAGTGGACGGCGCGGTACGAGGCTCACAGAACTCCCCACTCCCGCGCCACCTTCTTGCTAAAATCCCAAGGTAGAAGTGCAAGGGAAAGACAAAGACGGATGCGGTGGGGGGGGAGGGACAATACGGAATGGACCCAGTGAACATCACGAGGCCGTGTAGCGAGGGTACGCACTGACACACATTGACCGTCAACCTCCGAGTGGGTCAGGGAGCGGTGGCGCAGTGCTCAAACGCACTGATGGATGGGAGGAGAGACAGAAAGGGGAGACGGCTGGGAAGTTGGAGGCGTGGGGACTTCAGGCTGAAGGGATTGCGTGCGGCGACGACAATGGGGCCCTGCCTGGCCAAGCCCCGGTGGGTGGTCGCGGGAGCATGGTTTGGGGTCAGAGATGGGACCGATGTTTGCTCGCCGCGCCTCCGATGAGCACGGTTGGCTGCGTACGGTGCGAGGGAAGTTCAATGTACGTGTGTACCGGGAGCGCGACTCCCGTGGGGACAGGGGGTGCCTTGCTCACCCCCCCCCCTCCCACCGGTGGCCAAATCCACGAGTTGGGGATCCCTTGACAACCACCGTGAGATGTTTTCAACAAGTGTCAAAGAACAACACTTAAAAAAAGCGGTTTAAATTTGTTTTCACGAAAATTATTTCATTTACGTTCCACGTTTTATTTGCATTCAATTAAGAGCCGTAACGTTGGGATTCCGCAAATTTGCGCAACGCGTGTTTGCTTCTGTGTTGTTGTCGTAGTGTACAGAGCTGGCGCGGGACTGTGCAGGTTACATCTTGCGAAGTCGGAGCGCACCTCCAGCGTTACATATTCGAGACCGTGAGCGTAACGATGTGATTAGGTAAGAGTCGTCGCGACATATAATTAGCCTGGGTGTGAACATTGCGAGACAAATCAAATATTGGAGGGCCCCACCTGACCGATTGCCGCACCCCCTGAGCTGATTATGCCGTTACGACGCCACTGTTGCTCGGCTCGTTTATTAGGATAGGGTTAGAGTAGGCATAGTAGTCGTGGCTGGTTGGCTAGTTGATTAAGGTTAGGGAGCTAGCGTAGGGATAGTGGTCACCGACTCAAGAGGGTTGCGAATGTGGCCGTCCATTGGCATAACGTACACGAAGTACTGCATTTGAATGCCCATCTCAGCCAACGGGGACCGTTTCGCGAGCCCGTGAAGATTCTGTTCAGCTCACGATGCGTTTCTCTCTCCACCGCCCGTAGGCGGTGGCTACGCACGTGGATTGGACATCCAGCACTGTGTGAAGGCAGCAGCGAGGGTTAGTGGATCACTGCACACGCGTCGTGAAACTCCCTTCCCGTGGGCGTCGAGGCGCCATGCCTTGGCTTGCCTTGGCAGTTCCATCTGTATGGAATAGACTTCTCCGGGTGCTCCGGGTTCCTCCCACCCGTAAACACACATTCGTTGGCCGATAACACCTTAATATATAGAGGACTGCAGAGCTTGGGCAATTGTTGGTATCGTCGGCTCGGCGCCGCGTGCTTGCTGCTGCCTTCCCGCTCCTCGTCTGTGGTCCCTCCTCCTCCTGGCGCCTCTGAGTCGACCTCCCTCCCCGCCTCTCTTCCCCTACGAGAGAGCGCGCAGATACTGTGCGGAGGCGTTGAGTAACGAGTAACAAGTTGACATCATTATTACCTCTATTTACGGGGGGGGGGGGTGAGTGCCTTGGGTTGAGGAGGTGGAAGAGGTGAGAGCGACCCCCTTCAGCCCAGGTCGATGTTTACTGCGGCCACCGGATCCCTTCCCGCCCCGCCGCGCGCGATGTCGATTTACACCCGGGTATTTATTTGCACCGCCGAGTTGTTGAGACCCGAGTGTTTATTTACATCACGGCGCGATGTTTACACAAACAACTGTTTACGCCGCTCACAGGGGGACCGAGTAAAACGCGCGCAGGCTCAGGGATGGGGGCGAGGTGGGGGGGGCAATGGGGATTGGGGGACCCAGACCCCGGGAAAGGGCAGAGATACGTGGTCGAGTGGTACAGTGGAAACCTTTCAACGAATTAAAGTGACTTCGACGGATTAACTCAACATCTGAGAGTTACGTTTCAAACGGGTCGGGGGGGTGGGTGGCCCCCACGTGTCTGCTCTGCCTTGAAGGCGGCACAAGAACCCCAGCGGAGACAATCATCACACATTAGCGGATGTCTACGCATCGTGGGCACCACACGGGTCTCAACTCAAAGGCAAAAAACGAACGCCACCAACGACGACCCAAATCCTCTCGGCTCTGTCTGATCCCCTCTTCGTGGGCCGTGAACCTCCCTATCGGACCCCTTCTTCTTCTCGGAGCCCCTCGTGGTTGTGGGCAGGTAGAGCCGATTGACGTCAGGACCTCATCTCTCACTCAATACGTTCCTGGACGCTATTAAGACTGGAATAGGTGGAACGCTCGCGACTTGTAATAGTCACGGACAATGTGAGAGGTATACCGGATGTGGTGTGCCGGATACGGCAAAGGTGGTAAAGGTTGTGAGTTCAAATCCTAGTTTCGGTGGTTGACTGAGACCAATATCCCTCTAGGGGTTGATAAAATGAGCACCACTTTGCAAGGAAGATCGAGAGTGGTTGCCCTGTGATAGACTCGTCCATATAACGGGAATGTGGAATTTCCACGCTCCACCGTGGCTCTGTAGGGCTATAAATAATATAAGCCTCAATGCTCACTTGAGAAACAAATCACTACGACTGTGCCTTGCGTTTGGTTCTTCGAGCGTTAGCAGTGTTTCCCATCGTGCAGCAGTTCTGACGCAGCCAGCTATGATCTCACGAGAGAGACGTCCCGAGCGGTGGTTGGGGGGGGGGCGGGGAGGGGGCACGGCGACGCGGGAAAACTGGGCTGAGCACCCGGGGGGGGGGCACCTCCACAGAAGCTTCAGGAAGTTGTGGTGGGTAAAGTTAGGAGGCGGGGGGGGGGGGGGGGAGCAGGGTAGGGGGAGCAGAGGGAGGGAAGCAGAGAGGCGGTTATGCAGGCGCTCAGCCCTCTAGGAGCTGCACCCGAGGTGGACGCGCTTGGATTGCCCCAGGTCTCATCCATCACGCGTCGCCCGGGATCCACCCGCCGCGCTAATGAGCCCCGCACTGAAGGACGGCTCTGCCTCTGCTAACCTCTGCTGCTGCTGTTGCTGCTGCTGCTCTTGCTACTGCAGTTCCAGCTTCTTCTGCTGGTGCTCCTGCTGCTGGAGTTTCTGGAGCCGGTGCGAGACCTGCAGCAGCCGCCAGTACTCAGTGGACTGCATCTCGGGCGTTAGGTCGCACTGCACGCTCGCGTGGTGGCTCGCGTGGGCCTCGACTGGCGTGGCAGGATTGGCCACCTCTTTCGCATCTTCCTCTTCTTCACGCTCCTCCTGCTCCTCCTCCTCATGCTCCTTCTCATGCCTATCCTCCTCCACCTTATGTTCATCTCCTTGCTCTTCTTCCTCCACCCACTGCTCTTTTTTTTGACCCCGGGGTCTCGGTATGACCTCTGTCAAGCTCTGCGCCGTGCGCTGGACGCAGGAACCATCTGATGTGCACGTGGGGACCAGCTGATTGCTCAGCCGATTGGTTGACGCCCACGACGATGCGGAGACTGTGGGCGAGCTGTAGGTCGCGGAGGTTTCAGAGTCCCCATCTGTGTCCGACTGAAACAAAAGAACACACAGCCTAGAACACTTACGAGGAGTATCCAAGGGGACCCACGAGGAGTATCCAAGGGGGACCCACGTGGAGCAGCCAAAGTGACCCACGTGGAGCAGCCAAGGGGGACCCACGTGGAGCAACCAAGGGAACCCACGAGGAATATCCAAGGGGAATCCAATTGGAGTAGCCAGGGGAATGTATACTGTTACTTCAGAGAACATAACATATATCTTGACCCCTCTATCTCTAAGTTGTGGTGGAGGAGTTCCCTTGTGAGCGATTCACGTCGCGTGTTCCGATTGTTTACACAACGGAATTCGCTATTTTCTGCGCTTGTTTTAAAGAGGCGTTAGCCTCCATGGACTCGTCACATTATTACAAACAAAGCACATTAAACAGTGCAGGTGGCAGGGAGCAGCAGTGTTAATGACTGTGCCTCGAAGCAACGAGAGCCTGGGTTTGATCCACGACTCAGGCGCCTATCTGTGTAGAGTTTGTATGTTCTCCGCCTGTTCTGCATGGGTTTCCTCGGGGCTCTGTGGTTTCCTCCCACAGCTATAAAAAAAACCCATACAGTGTAACTGGCCAAGCATCCCAATGGAAATTATTAAATTGGAATTGCACACAGCTGCATCGCCCCGACTGCAAAAAAAACTCGGTAGGACCCCCACTTCCCCCCCCCCCCCCTGAAAAGGCATCTTGAGACTCAGTGTGGCTTTCCTGGGTAAATAAGCAAAACAATAATAGAATTATATAAAAGACATACGGTGCTGATGCTCCTTCGTTGGTAGTGGTGCAAGAGTACAACAACAACAACTTAACACGTTGGTCAATAACACTGCGGCTTTAAAAGGGGAAAATATATATAGCCGACATTTGTGTCAATAGCTCTTCTTCATATCACACGAAGATGAGCCATTGGCACTTCACGCGTGCTATATAAAGAAGGGTCGTTGACCGAAACGTCGCCTGAATTAGTTCTTTTTCCCGATGATTCCAGACTTATGGGCCACCCTGAATACTTGTTCCAATTAAGGCCACACACAGAGTATTTTATAATAATAGCATAGCAGTCACTGCCGTGACATTGCCTCGTAGCGTTGTGAGGCCCAGGTGACGCAGACCGCAGTCTACAGTCTGGCTGTGGCTGATTTATTGAAGTCAGAGTTGGTTTCTGCTGCTCACACGAGGCACATTGAGGCAATGGTGCTCACCTCCATTCTTCAACCCTGCATAACCAGTGACCGTGGACATTCCAAATTACTATGACCGGGAATTAACATATCCGTAGGAAATCCACTGTTAATCCACCTCCGCAAAGTAGTATAAATTTTGTCGACCATGGAGGGATAGAATTATGGGCCGAGTCAAACCCTGCCCAACTGAGGCTTGAACTAGCCACCTTCAAATTGCGCACCGCTTGCTCTGCTGCTGAACCGCGTCACCGGCCGATTAGTAAATAAAATTACTGCCAATTGGCCAACAACCAACTGGTCGATACGGTCTCCTCCCCACGCCATGGTGGGGGGGGGGGGTGTTTTACGCTACTTCACCACGGTGGTCATCGCGGGTTGGTGAAGGCTGTGACTTCTAAAGAGATACAAATACAATGAAACCCAGTATAGCCTTAACAGACTGTTGCGGCAAGTGCTGTTAGCGAGCACCGATGAAGGGCAGCACGGCACACGAGGGGGGTGGGTGGCCAGCACCACGCCCGGCCGCCTTTGTCTCCCCAGTGGCGATGTTTACACATCGCACCAGGTACTCATTTAAGGCTGAATCGACCTAGGGGAAGCGCCGGACTGGTTTAGATAATCGCCACTGGTGTTGGCCGTGAGCCGGAATCGAACTCGAGTGGCCACACACCACAACACACATGCACGGTGCTTGTACCGACGCGGTGCATGGGAGAGAGTGGGCATAACGGGGTGACTGGACGATCCATTCATTGTCCGGGAATCAGTGTTTCGGGGGAGGGGCCGGAATGGTTGGTGGGGGAGGACCTGCTTGGGTTCAGGTTCACGCTCCTCCACCACGCTACTAAATATTCATGAGGTCAAGGTGCAGCCCTCAATTCTTGAGAAACGTGCACCCCCCCCCCATTGTATTGGAATTGAACTGACGCCCTCTGGAATTGGCGACCTCTAGTGTGAGTCATTAACACCACGGCAGGCATCGCCTTGTGTGAGTCTATGGGTCTCTATGTAAGTATATATCTATGTGTGTGAGTCTATGGGTCTCTATGTGAGTCTATATCTATGTGTGTGAGTCTATGGGTCTCTAGGTGTTTCTATATCTGTGTGTGAGTCTATGGGTCTCTATGTAAGTCTATATCTATGTGTGTGAGTCTATGGGTCTCTAGGTGTTTCTATATCTATGTGTGTGAGTCTATGGGTCTCTATGTAAGTCTATATCTATGAGTGTGAGTCTATGGGTCTCTATGTGAGTCTATATCTATGTGTGTGAGTCTATGGGTCTCTATGTGTTTCTATATCTATGTGTGTGAGTCTATGGGTCTCTATGTAAGTCTATATCTATGTGTGTGAGTCTATGGGTCTCTATGTGTTTCTATATCTATGTGTGTGATTCTATGGGTCTCTATGTAAGTCTATATATATGTGTGTGAGTCTATGGGTCTCTATGTGTTTCTATATCTATGTGTGTGAGTCTATGGGTCTCTATGTGGGTCTATATCTGTGTGTGAATCAATGGGTCTCTATGTGATTCTATATCTAAGCGTGTGAGTCTATGGGTCTCTATGTGAGTCTATATCTATGAGTGAGTCTATGGGTCTCTATGTGAGTCTATATCTATGTGTGTGAGTCTATGGGTCTCTATGTGAGTCTATATCTATGTGTGTGAGTCTATGGGTCTCTATGTGGGTCTATATCTGTGTGTGAATCAATGGGTCTCTATGTGATTCTATATCTAAGCGTGTGAGTCTATGGGTCTCTATGTGAGTCTATATCTATGTGTGAGTCTATGGGTCTCTATGTGAGTCTATATCTATGTGTGTGAGTCTATGGGTCTCTATGTGAGTCTATATCTATGTGTGTGAGTCTATGGGTCTCTATGTGAGTCTATATCTATGTATGAGTCTATGGGTCTCTATGTGAGTCTATATCTATGTGTGTGAGTCTATGGGTCTCTATGTGAGTCTATATCTATGTGTGTGAGTCTATGGGTCTCTATGTGAGTCTATATCTATGTGTGTGAGTCTATGGGTCTCTATGTGATTCTATATCTATGTGTGTAAGTCTATGGGTCTCTAGGTGAGTCTATATCTGTGTGTGAATCAATGGATCTCTATGTGAGTCTATATTTACGTGAGTCTATGGGTCTCTAGGTGAGTCTGTCAGTGTCTTTATATACGCGTCCATTGGCCTCTGCGCGAGTTGTCTTTATACATCAGTTCATGGGTCTCTGAGTCTATTATGTGTTTATATGCGAGTCTATGGGTGTCTGAGTATGTATATACTAGTCCATGGATCTATATGAGTATACGAGTGTCCATATATACGAATTCATCGGTCTCTACGTGAGCCTACGAGTCTCTGTGGGTTATACACGTGGGTCGACAGAGGCGGGCGGGAGAGTCCAGCATAGCCCACAGTTTACCGTTGCACCACAGCACCCAATAAACACAAAGATCCCCCGTATGGCGTTAACACAGACGTGTTTTAGGGAAATTATTAGCGAGCACCTATGAAGGCCAGCATGGTGCCCGAGGGGGTGGGTGGCCAGCACTCGTTTGAGGCCGAGTCGACTTAGGGTTGAGATAATCGTCACTGGTGTTGGCGGTGAGCGGGAATCGAACTAGGGCCGCATTTAAACTCACGCAAGCAACGTTGTGTTCCTCGGTCAATATTCGGAGCCTCAAGGGTGGCTGGTGGTGGTAGGGGGTGGGGTGATCGCTCCCCCACCCCCGCCCCACCTCCCTATGATCCACCGCTATGTGTAACACGTGACACGTCGTACAAGACGTACCACGTTCCACCCGTGTCAATAACCCAGGGCTGCCGTGCTGGCCGCACCGCAGTCGGCGCACCCTAACGAGGACAGAGGCACGGGCGGAGATTCGGCGACAGCCCCTCCAGAGGGATAGGGTGTGGGGTGGGGGTGTTTTGCGGAGGCACGCGCAGCCATGCCCCACGCCGTAGGGTCGGGGCATCGTGAACCCTCGCCGTTCATTAACGTCGATTTGTATTTCTCTCCCAGACGAAGAGTTCCGTCGATGGGTTCCCCCGCGAGAGATGTAATGTGCGTGTGGGGGAGGGGGGGGTGCGTCCGGGAATAATTCGGGGTGGGGGTGATTGTAGAGGAGGGAGCCCGACGCGGGATCGCCTCTGACAGGAACGTGGCTCATTAGCGTCGCGACAGCCACCGCTCCCTGCCTCCCTCCCTCCGTGCCTCCCTGCATCCCATAACTTCCTGCTGCTCACCCTCACCGCCTCCCTGCCTCTCTCTCTGCATCCCCGACTCTCTCCCCCCTTCTCTGCTTCCCTTCCTCTCTGCATCCATCTCCCCCTCCGTGCCTCACCATCCATATCTCCCTCCCTCCCATCCCCTCTACCTCACCGACTCTTCTTGCCTCCCTCCGCCTCTTCTTGCCTCCCTCCCTCCACCTTATTGACTCCCTTGCCTCTTTCCCTCGCTGCCTCCCTAACTCTCCCTCGCACTCTCCCTTCTTCCTTTCCTGCCTACGTTCCTACTTTATCTTCTGCCTCACCGACTCCTACCCTCCCTGCCTCCCCTTCCCTTAATACATATCTCCCTCCCTGCCTTCCTCCTCTGCTTCTCTCCCTCCTACCCTAAACCACTCTCTCCCTGCTCCCCTCCCTCTCAGGCCCTCCCCCCTCCCCTGCCTCACCCCGTCCCTCTCTGCCTCCCACACCGCTGTGCGCGGTGGAGGGGATCAGGCAGCGCGGTGGAAGCGGCGCGGAGAGCTGGCCTCCCGCCCCGAAACTCGGAGCCATTGCTCCCGGTGCAATTGATCTCAATTCCAGACCCGTGAGCACCAGCCACACACGACGTGTACGCTCTGTGTGCTGTGTGTGTGAACAGCTGTGTTCGTGTATGCGGGTTGCTGTGTGTGGGCTGCTGTGTGTGTGGGCCACTGTGTAGGTCGCTGTGTGCACGCGCTGTGCATGTGTGGGATGCTATTATTTACTTATCATTTTACCAGGCAAGGGCCACTGAGCTAAATAGCTCTTTTTCAGAAGCGACCTGGCCACAAATGATAGCCCAATGAAGTCGCTTATCACGTGGAAATGTAGAGCAGCCAAATACTCTAAACACATGTTTATAAATGTGGAGGGAAAAACCGGAGGACCCGGAGAAGAATCTACGTGACCACAGGGAGAGAGAGAACACGCAAACTCCAAATATGTTGGCGTCCGGGTCAGGATTGAACCCATGACCTCATATATATCAGGCGAGGTAGTTAACATCTCGCCACATTGCTGCTGTGTGTGTATGCTGTGTGCTTGTTGTACGCATATCGTGTCAATCCACGCAAAACTACAGGAACAATAAATACAGTCGATGACATTAATATCACTCTCCTCCAAGGTGATGGCAGCAATGAATCACCTGAAGAAGGCCAGTCACCCAAAACGTCAATATCTCCCTTTCCTCTTTGTAACGGTGGAACCCCCTGGGATTACGTGTCGCCGACCTGCTTAATTAACCCGTTCATCACGTCACAAGTTCACTGAAGCATCGGTCGTTTCATATGCTTAATGTGTCACGCACAGTTGGGGGAAGGCGGGGAGAGGGGGGCACTCTGACACGTAGCCACCCTTATCTCGCCGCCCGTCTTCGGGTATTAATATTGTCTTGCCGCATTGTATTTTATATTAATGGGGGGGGGGGTGCGGTTGAGATAATTTCGTCTTTAGATGAAATAATTTAGCGAGAGTGTGTAGGTAATCCTAATGTGTCACGCTCTCACAGCCGTTCCAAGACGCAGCAGACCGTACTCTGCATTGTACGTGCCACGGTAACGGGTCCCATGTATGCCACACAGGCTACTACAGAAAAGATGTGACCCCCCCTAAAGACACATACACGACTCCTATCTTGTAGCTACACACACCCTAGGTGGTAGTGTGTAGAGGGAGTGGTAGTGCAGCGGTTAGCGTGGTGCGCTACGAAACCGGCGACGCGAGTTCGAGTAAAGATTATCTGAACTGGTCCTGGGCCTCCCGTAAGTCGCCTCAGCCTCAAATGTATACCTAGTGCAGAATGTAAACATCGCCACTCGGGAGATGAAGGCGGCCAGGCGTGGTGCTGGCCACCCACCCCCTCGTTTGACACGCCAGCCATAATAGGTGCTCACTAACAGCACTTGCTCCAAAAGTCTGTCACAAAGGAGTCCAAAAATTTGTACGAAAAATTACAAAATATCAGTGAGTTCCTGCTGCTTCTGCTGCGCAAATAAGCAATGATACCAATTGGTGATAATCTCCTGCTTCCTACTGTCTTGCAGAACCAATGGTGACAATTCCACATGCATATGATGGGGGTGAGTCTGTCCATAGGAGAACCACTGTTCCCCACAAGTGGTACTCGTTTAATCGACCCCAGGGAAATGATGGGCTGAGTCAACTCCCCAAACAAGATTTGACCTCGCGACCTTCCGAAAGCAAGCCACTCGTTCTACTGCCAAGCCACGGGCCAGTGTCAGCTCGCGGTACAGAGAGAGATAGTGTGCAGATATAATATTGGGGGTCTGTGAATATAGCACTCCGGTGACATCGCTCCCATCAAAAGTAATTTGAGCGATTTCAGCCCATCAACATCAGCCTGCTCCCTCTCAGGGTCGGTAAAGTGAGCACCACTTTGTAGACAAACTCAACAGCGGTTGTCCTATGTCTAAACTCACCCTCGGTCATAGCAATGTGAGCATCGATACGTCGGCGCTCACTTGAGCAGCAGATTTTCACTTCGCGCCACCGCTTCCGTCGGTTGTAACGCGGAAATGCAGGGACGTCTCTCGTGCTGTGAAGGAGCGCTTACCTGCGACTTTGAAAGGCTTTGTTTCTCATTCACCACGATTAAAGTTCGTGTGGGATAGCCCGGGAGATGTGCAACTGTGTAGTAACTACGAGCGAGAGCAGTTTGCGCTTGTGGGTTGGCGCTGGATCCTCAGCTGCCTGCGTGGACTCCACAGGATCCATTAGTGCGCACACATGCAATATAGATTCGGCTTGTGAAGTTGCATGGAGAGCGAGACATTAAAATTACTCATGCGCTTTCCCTTATTATTTTATCCAAAAGGAATAATAGCACCCTCCATTAATACAGTAGGCGACACGGCACTGCAATATTAGCAGGCAGAGGAGTGTGCTGCATCTGCTGGGGAAGAGCCGTTCCGTGTTTTTCTGCTGCCCTTGGGGATGGCCACACGGTCAGCTCTATTTTGAGTTAGTGGTCTAGACAAGGCTAAGAATACAGTATTGTATATGCGACGTCGTGGTCACAAACAGCCCTCCTGCTCTTTGTGAGCAGCACCACACCTATGCATGTTAACTCTACACATACTCACCCACCCACTAACCCACCGACTCACTCACCCACCGACCCAATCACACAATTACCTGCCCACCCTCTCACTCATCCACCCACCCACTTAATAACCCACACCTTTGCATGTTGTTAAATCTACACATACACACCCACTTACCCACCCACTCGCTCACTCACTCACCCACACCTTTACATGTTAACTCTACACACACTCACCCACCCACTAAGCCACTTACCCACCCACTAACCGACCGACTCACTCACCCACCGACCCAATGACACAATTACCTGCCCACCCTCTCACTCACCCACCCACTTAATAACCCACACCTTTGCATGTTGTTAAATCTACACACTCACCCACTTACCCACCCACTCGCCCACTCACTCAATCACCCGCACCTTTGCGTGTTAATTCTACCTGTTTCCAGCCTGCACGCGTTCTGGATTTGAGTCCCCATGTTCGATGACCTTGTGTAGTGGGGGTCAAATCAGGGTGAGGTCACTGCCCTGTGTCTCGTGATGTCCCCATGTCCCGAGTGTGAAGAGACACAGAGGTGAGATCCCCACTGGCAGGAGATGGCCATAATGAATCGTCACATCTCACCATTTCCGAATGGACTTGGCTGCTCTCGGACTCCGTGGAGGACGTACTGCACCCAGGCACCGTCCCTGTAAGGTGCAGACACAGAGATGCACATAGACCAAGGTCCCCCATATAGCCTTAACAGACTGTTGGGGCTAGTGCTGTTAACGACGGCCTAAGAAGGCAGCGACAGCACACGTGAGAAGGGGGTGGGTGGCCAAGACTGCGCCCGGCCGCCTTTGTCTCTGTAGCGGCGATGTGTACACATTGCACCGGATACTCATTTGAGGTTGTGTCGACCTAAAGGAGGGCGGCCATGGACTAGTGCAAATATGCGCTACTGATGTTAGCCGTGAGCATCGTGTTAACCACTACACGAACGCTCCCCACACACATTGAGGCACGTGCCATGCGCTGGATCCTGAGCAATGGGGCCATGATGGATACGTTTGGGGGTAGTAGGGGGAGTTGGTGTTGGGAGGGGGAGGGTGTCCCTTACACAACAGCTTTGGATGGCACAGAGGGTCCCCTTCGCGGCATGGGAATGCCCCACGCAGCTGCAGGGGGGGCCGGGGTCTATTGGAGTGCCCCCCTCGCTTCAACTCCTCCTCCTCCTCGTGATCCTGCTGCGAAGGAAAGAGAAGGAGACAGGAGGGAGAGACCCCCGGTTTCGTAGTCACACCGCTCGTTTGAGCGGAGCCGGTAATGACGGGGAAGACGGATGGCCGCTGTCGGCGAAGCAAAACGCACCAACCTCGTGGGCATTTATTTTCTGGTCGGGAGCAGAGTTCCAGTGATCATTACTGCAACACAGTGAACACAGGCGGCGGGTTCGCACGCACACACGCACACACTTGTCAATTGATAATCGCATTGAAAAAGAGCCATTTAGAACTCTGCCAAAACATCAACAAGCGTTAATAATGAATGCCCCCTGCGTTGAACAGCGGGCGCTCGGAGCACGCTGGCTCGGTGTAGCGGTAGCGACAGTGCGGGGACGGCTTAGGGGTCGAGGGGGTTTCAGTGGGAGGAGGGAACTTGGGTTAGGGGCACGTGGGCGGGGGGGTTAAGACGGCCACTCACGCCACCGAGTGGGCGTCGGTGAAGCTCCACGCTGCAGTCTCCTGGAGCCATATTTTGGATATCTCGCAGCTCCCTACACACACACACGGACAAAGATCCCCCATATAGCCTTAACAGGCTGTTGGTGCAATTGCTGTTCATGAGCATCTACTAAGGCTTGTATGGCACAAGAGGCGGTGGTGTGACCAACACCATGCCCGGACACTGTTTTCTCCCATGTGATGATATTTAATACAACCTCCACCAGGTACCATTTAAGGTTGAGTTGACCTAAGGGAGGCCTAGAACCAGTTCTGATAATCGCCACTGATGTTAGCCGTGGCCAGGAATCGAACTTGGGTTACTGGGTTCATCATGCATATCACATCATAACGAATCAAGTAAAGTTCACACACGCATACACGACACAAATTCACACACAGACATGAAATCGAACATATACAGAAATTAACACAGACACAAATTCACACACGTATACACGCACAAATACAAAGACACACACACGCAGACACAAATTCACACACAGATACAAAGGTAAACGGACACAAATTCACGTAGACACATTTACACATACACAAATGCCCCAACACAAATTCACACAGACACGAGCTCACACACACGCCACACACGCGTTGGGAGAGCCACACGGACACCGCCAGGTACGTGAGACGCAGCTGCCAGTGTTGCCTCATTAAGGTGGCGGTGATTGAGCCGCAATTAAAATGTACCATCCGCCATTTCCTAATTATCACCTCCTCCATCCTGTACCGGCACCGCGACCGCGCTCGTCTCAAAGCAGAGGAAATCGCGCATGCCATGAGCGGCCAGTGTCATTTTTCCGTCAAACGCTGAGTCAAGGCCCCTCCTGGGGCTCAGATGTTGAAAGATGAACCCTGAGGCCAGCTCCATGTCTGGTGGGCCATAGTCCTGGGGGTGACCATGTGGAGGCCCACCCAGCCCCCACTGCATGGGATTTAACCCCAACTGCTGCTGATGTTGCTGCTGCCACCACGGGTCCTCAACCTCGAACCAGGGCCTGGGGGATGTGTGCCCGGAGGTTGACAGCCCCTGGAGGAACAGCGCGGGTCCACGATCGTCAAGGAGGAAGTCATCGTCCTCGATGAGGCTGTGCTCAGTGGTGTCGAGCTGGAAAGGCCTCGGAGTTTTGGGCTTGTAGTCCGAGTTCTGATAGTGCATGAGCGACGGCACGACGTGCAGGGCCAGGGCCTCGTGGGCGAAGTCGGAACTCTCCATGAAGTGACCTGCGCTGGGCCTGTGGAACGACCGTGAAGGTGGAGAACAATTGAGATGCAGCCCCTCCTTGACCCCCACGAGGTGCCGCGCTGCTTGCGGTGGGAAGGGTCGTAAAGTCGAAGGCAGCGTGGCAACACAGATGGGTAAATGAACACTCAAACATCTATCTGTAGGGATGCTGGGGTGTGCCCGGGCGAAAATGGGGAGTGCTGGGGTGTTCTGGGGGGCAGCGTGTGGGTGCAAATGGCAGAGTTCAAGTGTCAAGTTTATTTTGTGTGACCAGGGTGAGAACTCAAGAGACCGGGATAAGTCTCATTTTCAAGAGTGACCTGGGTTATGGAAATGACAAAAAGAATAACGTACGAGTACAGCAATGAAGCAAATGGAAGTCAGAACCAAGACCACCAAATAAAGTAGATTCAAGCAAGCCTGACTGCTGATAACACACTGTATGTCAAAACGAGTCCAGAGTTTGCGTGTCTTGATACAATGCTGTTGAAATTACGCACTCCCAGAAGGCCACGTGGCTAATGGGTAGAGTAACACAGTACGCTACTTTTATTTGTGCATGTGGAGGGACGGAAGGAGACGAATTGCCTGTGCATTTATTGTTAAGTCAATTTGGAGCATTGCGTGAGAATATGGCCCATTGTCGGTGTGAGCGCGCATGCTTTGGGAGCGATAGCGTAGTGGTTAGCGCACTGCACGACGAACCTGGTGACCCGAGTTTGATGCCTGTTCACGATCAACATCAGTGACAAATATGTAAACTGGTTCTGGGCATCCCCTAGGTCGACTCAGCCGTATTTGAAGTACCTGGCATAGTATATGTATGAACATTAGCACTGGGGAGACAAAGGCGGCGAGTTGTGGTGATGGCCACCCACCCCCTTGTGCGCCATGCCAACCTTCATAGGTGCTCGCTACCAGTGCTTGCCCCAACAGTCTGTGTTTTCTGAAGAACACAGGGGGGTGAGTGGGAGTTCGTGGGAGGCGTGCGTTACCCCACTCCACGCGGTGCCCAGGAGCTGGTGGGGTCGGAGGTGTTGAGATCCCGTTGCTCCATACAGAGCGCACGTCTGCAGATCGCGTCTGCGTTTGTTTTGCCCTCCGGGACGATCCACGGACTTGAAAATGGCATGAAGGGGCTCTGCAAATTCAAACTGCCGGCATCAGCCTCGTGCTTAAATATAAGACACCATCCACTGGCAGTGCCAGGAGGCGGCACACAGCGCTACTGCTCATTAAGTCTCCTACAACCGCTACCTGGCCCTTGTGGCTCAGCAGCAGAGCGAGCGGCAGAGTGAACGACTTCGCGATGAAAAGGTTGCGCGTTAATATCTTGGTTGGAGGGGATGAATTATCTCAGTATCCCTCCCTCCGGTGTCGATAAAATCAGCACCACTTTGTGGGGAAGACCACCAGCGGTTGTCCTATGGATAGACTCGCCCTCGGTCATATGAATGTGGAATTTCCATGGTCACTGGCTCTGTAAGCAGGAGATGAGCCTCAATGCTCATTGATGCCTCAATGCTCACTTGAGCAACAGATATAATTTGGCAATGCAGGCACATCTGCGACTTTAAAGCCTTTATTTCTCATTCACCATCATTGAATTCGCGTGTGAAAGCCCGGGATTGTGCAGGTGTATAGTAGCAACGAGCGCCGTTTGCGCTTTGGGGGTCACGACTTGCTATTTGGGACGACCGTGGCTACCGCCGCTGGCCCATTCCGCCCAGATGGTTCACTCAGCGCCCACGCGATCTGCAGCTTTAATGTCCCATACGATCAATCGAGCGATTTCTTCACAAAATCAATCGCATGCCTAAGAATTTGGGCGATGCAGGCACCCGTGTGGAGGGGCACAGCTGCATTTCGATGCGTGATGCATCCCAATCGAGTGTTTTAAAAACACAGCAACATCAACATCAATAACATCAACAACAACGGTGGAATTGCCAGCTCGGGGGGCGCGAGCGGCCGAGTGACGTGGGAATTGAGTTGAAACCCCCCCCCCCCCCCCCTCAATTCGGAGCGCATCACTCCGGGGTCCCGCGTCTCTGACATCGCTGCTGTGGTGCCAAAGGGGGATGGAGAGGAGGTACCGGCGCCACGAGGAGCACCTGTGCTGCCGTCACCATGGAGCGGTTTTCGGGGGGCTGAGGCCATGAGCAGGAGGGCCCCCCGCCAAATACAGCAGGGTCCGCCGCGGGCAAACGGTGCTCGTTAATGGGGGACAGCTGCTCGAGGCGGGAGGGATAGACGAGAGAAAATCAGAGAGAGAGAGAGAGATTGAGAGAGAGAACCTCACATACAAACAGCCAGATCGTACATCCAATGGAGAGAGATGGAATCGCATAATTTGACAATTCGCATCACACACACAGAGAGAGAAAGGACAACACGACGTAGAGAATACACATCACACACAGGCAGTAAGACAGATCACATCACATAAATCATATCGCAGCACATTACAGAAGTCACAGCACACCACATAAAAGGCAGCACATCACTGAAAAAACACATCAATGGAAAAAGCACATAGCATGACAAACAGCAGATCAAATGGCAACATAAGCTGCAACATCGCATTACGGAAATCACCTCAAGTAAATCACATCGCATCTCACACAGCAAAGAAATCACATCAAAGAAATAACATCACATCCGAGACAGCACAGCACATCACAGGGCATCGCAGACAGCAGCACGTCGCATGCTGAGTGGGTGAGCACTCACCCCCCTACCACTCTGGAAGTTTTTCGGTGGCGGCATCTCCCTGGCTCTCACCGAGGGCTTGAAGCACGCTCCAATTGGCACAGCTTTCCTCCAGTTGCTGCTACAGCGGTATTTCGCTTGGCTACAGCGCGCACACACGGAGAGGCACACACACACATACAAGACAAAACTACCCCGTCTAGTAGCCTTCAACAAACTGTTGGGGAAAGTGCTGTAAGCGAGCACATTATGAAGGCCGGAATAGCACACGAGGGGAATGGGTAGCCAGAACCAAGCCAGGTCGCCTTTGTCTCCCGAGTTGCGATGTTTAGATATCGCACCAGGTACTCATTTGGGGCATGGTTGAGTTAGAGGAGTTCGAATCGAACTCGGGCCGCCGGGTGTGGAACGTAGTTCACTAACCACTGCATCACCGCTCCCCAAGCTCACACACACATATACAGGGACACACGCATACACACAGGGAAACAAACACTCATACAGAAACACAAAGACAAAGAGCCCACCCCCTCTCCAAATAGCCCGTCCGCCTTTGTCTTCCTTGTGGTGATGTTTTACACGCCTCATAAGGTACTCATTTGAGGCTGAGTCAACCTACGGGAGGCCCAGGACCAGTTCAGATAAAGGTCACTCATGTTAGCCGTGAACGGGAGCGGGAATCGAACCCGGGCCGCTGGATTTTTTAGCGCAGTACGCTAACCGCTGCACTACTGCTCAAACAAGTATACAAAGACAAAGATCCCCCGTATAGCCTTGACAGACTGTAGGGGCAAGTGCTGTTAGCGAGCACCTATGAAGGCCGGAACGGTACACGAGGGGGTGGGTGGCCAGCACCACGCCCGACCGCCTTTGTCTCCCCAGTGGCAATGTATACACACTGCACCAGGTACTCATTTGAGGCTCAGTCGACCTAGGGGAGGCCCAGGACCGGTTCAGATAATCGTCACTCGTGTTGGCCGTGAGCGGAAATCGAACCCGGATTGCCGGGTTCTTAGCGTAGCGCGCAAACCGCTCCACACACTCATACAGGGACACATAGCCCGACGGCGACACAAACAAAGTAAGAGTCGCGCGGATAAACAAACCAAAGGGACACGGTGCCTGGTAGGGACGCAAATCAAAACAGAAACAGCCTTGACTCCACACAACGACAATTCAGTGGCTCACAGCAGCATCATCATCATCAGCAGCAGTACCATCAGCAGAACCAGGAACACAATCAGAAACACCAGCCATAGGAATTAATCCGCACCATCAGCATTAACACGATGAGAACCTTAGCAATAAAACATATTCAGAATAACTGCTATCAACATCCACACTATCAGAGGAGTCAGCGATGGCAACATCAGTAGCATCACCACCATCATCAGCAGCAGCACATTAGTAATTGCTACATCTGCATCATCACAGCATCAGCATTATCATCATCAGCCTGTCACATCAAAGGGCCAAGCTTGTCTTCACGTGTCAATTCGCCTGCCAGCGCGTTCACAGTCGCCCATCGCGAGGAGAGACTCGAGCGTGCCGCGATGCTTTGAGTGATGGCAACATCTGGCAGGGGTGTTGTTGGTTCCTCGCATTCCCTGTGTCAGGTGTGGCCAGTGCAGTGATCTGGCGGAGTGATCATTCTCCAAGATAAATTCTCATTACCTCCGCCAGCTGCCACAGGAAACTTGCAAGACGTAAACAGTGCACGGCAGATGAAGGCTGCGCCGCGTCCACATCGATAATGCCCACTTCCCCTGCCCTCCACCCCCCCACTCCCCCCACCACCTATTCTTCAACCTACTCCCCACTTCTTCCCCCCTCCTTTTTCGCCCTCCTCCTCACTCTGGCCGTGACGGCCACCCACGGCTGTTTAATGTTCACGGGCTAGCCTGGGGGGATCGGTGCCACATGGCAGCCCCGTTCCCATGCCGTGCGCGCTCTGCCTTGCAATCGGGGCGTTCATCTCAGCCGGGGCGGCGCATGCCAAGGCAAAACAAACTATAAAAGTAACTTCACGTCCACACTCAAGTCGCTCACTCCTACGACAAAGCTGGTCGAGGTAAACAAAGGAGCAGCCCTGTAATTGATTGTGCCGCACAGGACAGCTATCATTGTTGGGGAGGGGGGGGGGTGTACACCTTCGAATTTTATGAGATGATGGAAGGCGCTTTGAGCTGCCGAGGCATTAAGCAAGTACCATATAAATGCACAGATGAATTATTATTCTATTTTATTATTTTATTTTTACGCATGATGGCAGCAGCAGATGTTCAGGAGCTCGATGGCAATATCGAGGTCTGCTGGCCACGACGAGGTGACCTTCAGGGAAGAGTTCGTGTGGTTTTACTATTTCCCCTCCGTTGAAGGAGCGCAGACTAAATTGGTTTACTATACGGTCCATAATCTGGGTTGCATGGTCGCAATCGTACTGCTATGGTTGAGGCTGCTGATAAAAATGCACTCTTAGAAAGGCCGTGTGGCTGATGGGATGTGTTACAAATATTTACAAAAATGGTGTAGAGGAGCAGCTATATGAAGGAGGGGAACTGCTTGCTAATTATTGATTACCACTGGACTGTGACTGCTTTCACTGAAACACGTGAGCGAATTAGCGGCTGTGCGCATCGAAAACTCGACAGAGACGTCACGTGGTTATTTATTCGCAGACACCCATTTCCATTACACGTGTGCGCATAAAGACATTGATTCGCATGAAATAGCGAATTTAAGTTTCATAAATACTTTACAAGGTCTTTTGCATTTACGAGCTTCGTACTAATCGATGTGAGTTTACGCTGTTTCCACTGCGCCACAACGCTTTATCTATCGAACAGAGCACACGAATGGAATACACAGCTGTGTGTTATTATGCGACGACTGGTGCAAGAGGTTTGAAACTGGTGTAGGGGTGTTGTGGGAAAGTAACGCACAGTGTGGGAAGGTAACACACAGCCACACCTTGGTGGCGACAACCACGTCCGCTATAGCCCCGCCCTCAGTGGTGTATGGGTATAAAGGGCGGGGAGCCAGAGAGCTCGGGGCATTGTGTTGGGGCCAAGAATGAAGAACCAGTGAAGAAGGAAGGCCGGCTAGATAGACCCTGGGACTTTCCTGACCGCTGTCCTTGTGAGGGCCGGCAGGGTAAGCCAGTGGTGCGGCCCCAGAGCCTCAGAGCCGGAGCCCTTTTAAGGGTCGGTCTGGTTGGTGGGGTGCCGCGATCTGTGCTTGACCAGGGCCAGATCAGATAGCCTCCTCTAGCGCCGGTAGCTGGAGGAACTGGGCGCACAGGAGTTAGGCTAGATAGCCTAGAGGGTGTCCCAGCGTGTATACGGGTGAAGGGGCCGTTACCCCTTCCAGTGTAACCCTTGTTACGTTTAATAAATAGTGCTGCCTCTACTCCACCGTCTCCGTGTCCCGTGAACCCACTACACTGGGGCAGAGGAAAAAATTCCCCCTCCTAATTCACTCGGGTCCAACTGCCTCCTCTGGCATAGTGTGGCGTGCCGTGGCGTGCCGTGGCGTGCTGTGCCGTGGTGTGTCGTGATATAGCCCAGAGCATGCAATATGAATAAGCAGACACATTGCCTCCATCCCATATCTGTCTCTCCACATGACAAATGGAAGGTTTTTTTTTTACACGTCCGATCGGCCACTCGGCCTTCTGGCAGCACATTCGTCGGAAGCATTCGTTCAAAGTGAGCAAAACTCTGGACTAGGTTTTGACAGTTACCATCTTCTCGGCAGGGTCAGGCTTTGATTGAGCCAATGCTGGTGAACTGTCACATGTTTATAGGCAAGGACCCCTCTGTCAGATATGGGTCCTAGAATAATCACGAACGTCGCTGTGGAGAATGAGCGATAAATGAGTGGACAACAGCTTCCTCCCCACGTGTGCTGTGATTACTGGATGGTGCTATGGTGTCGTGCCATAGCGTGGCGTGGCATGCAGTCCCACGGTGTGACAGGTTATCGCATAACGTTGCATGTTGTGGTGTTGCGTGTCATGCTGTCACAATATGTGCTATGACGTGCTGTGGCACACCGTGCTATACCGTGGCCTTGTGGTGCCATAGCGTGCCGTAGCGTATCGTGTTGTGCTGGTGATGGGAGTGTTTTGCCACCTGCTGCTGCTGTTGCTACTGCTGGTGCCGTCAGCGAGCAGCAGCTGTGAGGGCGCATGCGTCTTGGCCTGCAGGGGCGAGGGCAACTCCACGTGCTCGTGCCAAATCTGCGACCCACTCTGTCCCAGGCTCATCTTGGTGACCTGGTGAGAGTTGGCTGGGGGCACGGAGCAGAGATAATGAACAGAGGTCACGGCGCAGGAGGCGCACACACCAATAGATCAACCAAGGACACACGGCGGTGGGGGGTCAGGAGTCAGAGGTTACGGCTAGAGCTATAGGCAGGGTGGTTCAGAGGAGGGGGGGGGCAATAGGAATCATCTTGTCCGGGTCTTACATAAAAGAGGGCCCAAATAACGAACCTGATATCTGTTGCTAATCAATAAGAGCGTCACTCATGAGGTGAATGGAACACAGCTCTAGGCGGCAGCCATGGCTATAGAGGCAAGGGCCTTGTTAGATATGGGATCTAGGTTTAAAACGCGAATGATTTCGGCATGGAACACGTCAAATTATAGATGCCCAATTGGAGTTTTGTTTTTCTGCCACACTGCCTCTGCGACATCATCATCAGTACTATTATTATTGCTGCGAGATTCCTCGCGTATTTCTAGTCGTGCGAACATTGCTTTTAAAGTCACAAATTTAACCATTTTCGTAAACACCCGCCACGTTTAGCAGTCCTCACGCTATTTGTCAAATGGTGCAAACGGCCGCCGCCGCAGCGCATGTCTGGCAGCGGCGCGCACACAGATAATTGCCGATTGAAAGCAAATAAGTTCGTGTGATGGCACAGAGCTCGTCGCGGGGAAAGTGGGGTGGGGGGGGGAGGCGAATTTATGAAGGTGGTGGAGTGCCTGTTGGGCCAGGCAGCCTGGCTCCATCCGAGGCCAAGTCAACATCAGAGTTCTTGCTTAAAAGAGTCTTTAAGCATTGGTGCTCACCTCCCGTTTATATCCCCAAGTGGGTTAAAAATCCACATTCCTATGGCGGGTGGCGAGTCTCTCCACAGGATATTCACTATCGATCTTCCCCACAAAGTGGTAACTATTTTATCGACCCCGGAGGGTAGGATGATAGGCTGAGTCAACCAACCCCCCCACCTCCAAACGGGATTTTAACTCACAGCCTTCCAATTACAAGCCATACGCTCTACCGCTGAGTGCAGCCACATGGATGTTGCACGATTCGCATATATTCTTACGCATAGCAGCAATATGACCAGGAGCTAGATGCTAATGTCAAGGTCTGCTAGTCAGGGCGAGAGGGCTTTGGGAGGGTGTTCGTGTAGTTTTGCTACTCCATTGAAGGAGTGCAGACAAGTGGTTTACTATATGGTCAATAGTTTGGGTTGCATGGCCACAATCACACTCCTGTGGCGTCTCTGTCTTCATGTATCTCTACACTACTATATGTATATCTATGAGTCTCTACGTGTCTTTTCAGATTTACTATATGGTTCATAGTTTGGGCTACATGGCCACAATGGCATTACTTTTGATTATCTATAATTGTATATATTTATATACCTGTGTCTCTATGTATCTCTACGAGTCTATACGTAGATCTGTGTCTCTATGGGTTTACAATATGGTCCATAGTTTCGGTTGTGTGATCACAATCACGCTACACGTGGCTTGTCTTTAATTTTCCATTTATGAAGCAGATGTGCGTATCGGCCTGCTGATGTTCTGATGCGGCTGATAGTTACAAGAGTGTCTTAGAGGATGAATGTCAAAGCCAGCAGTTGTGATGTTTGGGTCTCGAATGAGGTGGTTATTCTGGAAGTCAGCGTTGTTCCACTCTGTGCTCCAGCAATCCGCTGGATCTGGGTGCGATTTGATGGTGATAGCGCGATCCCAAGTCCCGATGGTGATCGGGATTTGAGTAGTCGGCAGCGAGGAACATTGTTGTCTTGGTTGATGATCGGTAGGTGGTTGTCGTTGGCTGGAAGACGTATAAACCCCCTTGCAGGTTTGTATGCCAAGAAATTAGTGTCGGTTGCAGCGTTCCCGTTATGATGCGCATTGCGTCATTTAACTGTGCATCAACGCTGCCTGATAAAACCTCTGGTAAAACAACCCCTTCACTCGTGGTGGAGGGAAGCAGCAGCAGCAGCACAGCAGCGTGGGAAGAATGCCTGGGATTGGAAAGGGCCCTTCAGCTCGGCTGATCTGTCGCTTCACGCATCAGTCACCCCACTCTCCAGCAGCTCCCAGAGGCACCCACACGCAGCAGCAGCCATCTGCCTGGGAGCATAAAACCCTGCGCCGCCAGCAGCAGTCCCACAACTCGGGGGGGGGGGGGGGAGACGGCAGAACAGGCCCCCCGGGCACTGCTCCAAGCGGCTACACGCACCCCCCCCCCTCCCACCACCACAATCTGTGGGCCCCCATGTACGTGGTGGCCCCGTGGGTGCTGGGCCAGATGCTTGCTGGGCCAGGTGTTATGGTTGTTGCATGCGGGTTGGAGGGACAATCGACAGTAGCGCACGTGTATTGTGTTGTCTGGCGCTGGTGGATTTGGTTTACCCCACCAGCGAAATGGGTCTGGTGTGCATGGGGAACTGTGTCCAGTGGTGGTCACTGCAGAAGGTGGGCCTGGCCTCAAGAGTGGTGATATAAAGAGCCAGAGAGGGGAGTGGGTGGGGGGAGGCGGGAGCAAGGGACAATTTGTCCCAGGCCTCACACAAAAAGTCTTCACAACAGGTCCACGTGGCATTTTGCTCCAGACCTCCAGGAACCTCTGCGCAGCCCTGGTGGTGCACGGGAGTTGGTGTGCGGCGTTGGAGGTGCCCGCTGGCTCCGATAGTGCTGGGCACATGTACGCGGTGGTGGCCCTAATGTAGAGTGGTGGGACCCGATAGCCGAGTGGGTGGGGCGCCCACCCTTTGCATCATTGCAGGCGATGTGGTTGACCATGTGCAGAGATACCAAGTCCATGTTCATGTCCTTGTGCTGCCGCTTCTGTGGTGATGGCAGCTTCAACGGCTGCGGATACTCTTCGTACTTGCGCTTCTGGAAGAAGTTCTGCACGAAATAAGGGAGGCGAGAGGAGGGAGGCGAGAGGAGGGGGGGGGAGAGAGAGAAGGCGGCGAGCGAGGCAATCTCCAGGATGTCCATCTTAACGAGGTGCGACGGCATGGGTGCGTGCCGCGGGATCGCCGGCGCAGCGAGTAACGCACCTTCTGCAGTTTCTTGTTTGCCTTAAATCCAATCTGGCTCCTGTGTGAAAAGAGGAGATGGAGAGAGGTGAGAGAGAGAGGTCAGAGAAAGAGAGCAGAGATTGGAGAGCGCTCAAAGCTCGAGTTGGGGAGTGTAACACGCGGACGGCACTCGCCTCGAGCCGCTGACCCAATTCATCCTGGAGCCTCACGCTCTGGGAACGCGGGGGTGTGCGCGTGTCCCTGGACCACGAACTCCTCCTCAACCAATCTCCCACACACACAAAACCCTCTCCGTCCGCCGCCGCCTCTCCCACGGTCAGCACCCAACCCTGGAACACGGGCATTAAAATCATCAGCAGGAAGCTAAGGAGGTAATTAAAAAGCAACAACAGACAGGCAGTCGTTAAAGCGGGTAATTTGCGGCGCGCGGGTGTGCGCACGGGCGCGGGGCGTTTAATATCCCGCGGATCGATGCGGCCGCAGCGACGAGCGGGAGAAGAGGCCCAATCGCGTTTCGCGCAGCAATAAAACGGACGCAATTACTTTGCCCGCACTCATTATTTCAGCTGTAACCGGAGGGGAAGGCGGCACGGTGGGGGGGCCTGGGTCGTGGCTACCCACGATTGGTAGTCGGGAGAGGGCCCCGCAACACACCCCACTCACACGCGTGGATGTGCCGTTCCGGCTTTCATGGGTGCTCGCTGGTAGCAACTCGCCCCAAAAGTCTGTTATGGGGCCGTCCATAAATGACGTCACGCGATTTTGGACGATTGTTGACCCCCTCCCCCCTAGTCACACGGCGTTACAAAAAGTCAGACCCCCCCCACACAATTTTTTTAAAATGCTTCAAATCGCTGTAAACTATTGTCATTGTAGTGCGTATTTAATGTGGCGCTGCACTGTTGTAGGAGAAAACATTTATTAAAAAGTCTATTTAATTAAGGAGAACGTGTTGTCTATATTTATTTAAAGTTACGCATTTTGATGTGACGTCACATTTATCAATCGTCACAAATGTCTGACCCTCCCCCCCCCCAGGTGCGTGACGTCATTTATGGATGGCCCCTTTGTGTGTGGGTGCGCGCGCGTGGGTGTGCAATGGTCCTGGGCCTCCCCTAGATCGACTCAGCCTCAAATTAGTACCTGGTGCAATGCGTAAACATTGACACCCACCCCCTCGAGCGCCATGCCGGCCTTCATAGGTGCTCGCTAACAGCACTTGCCCCAACAGTCCGTTCATGCTATACGGAATATCTTTGTCATTGTGTGCACGTGAAAGACCACCCCTCCCACCCCCGTATAAACAATTGTTGGGGCAACTGTGTCGCGAGTGGTTATCGCATGGTGCTACGAACCTGAGTTCAATTCCCGCTCACGAACCAAAGAACAGCGACGAATATGATAACCAGTCCTACGCCTCCCCTAGGTCGACTCAGCCTTAAAACGAGTACCTGGTGCGGTGTGTAAACATCGACACGGGCGAGAGAGAAATGCAGCTGAACGTGGTGCTGGCCACCCACCGCCCCCCTCTCGTCTGCCGTGGCGGCCTTCACAATAGCAGCTCGCAAGCAGCACTTGCCCCAAAAGTGGCGTTCAAGGCTACACGGGTGGTGGTGGGGGAGAATCTTTATCTTCGCTATGTGCATAGCGGCTGTGTCATACGCATCGGAAAGATGGACATCGGAAAGATGGACATTGCAAACGATGAACATTGCGCAAAGCAGCGTGGAGAGTTGAGCGCTCGGAATTAGCCCGAGAGACGGGGTAGGGGGGGTGAAATGATCACACGGATCAGGGAGCACACGCAGCAAGTTAGAGACATCGTATTGATCGATGAGCAAAAGAAGCGTAATCGATATGATGACGGGGCACGTCGCTAAGAGGCACGCACGGGTCGAGGTTCAGCAAGGCGGTGGACAGTGGAGGAGGGAGACGCTCCCGAGAGGACGTCGACCACCGCGGATGAGATGGAAAGCGACACAGGAGGGGTCCATGGAGAAGGAAGGCGGGTGCTGCACTGCGGTGCCGTGAGAGGTGGCGACGGCTTTGGGGGGGGGGGGGGGAGACCTTCATCCAGCAGTGGATTGATCATAGCTGATTATTAATCCACTGCCGGATGAAGCCTCTCCATCCAGCAGTGGATTGAGAGAGGGCTGCACGTGTAACTTTACAAGTGAGTTAACCACAGGCCTGACTATATCCCAGGGGTGGTGGTGGTTGTGCAACTCACGCATTGTTGAGTGGTTCAGGTGTTGCCGTTGTGTTTAGTAGAAGCTGTTGTCTGTGTTACTGGTGTGGTGAGTTGTTACGTTAGTAGTGGCTGTGGCACTATTTTTTTATGTACTGCCGAGTAGTAGTTGTAATCGATTGTGTGGTTGCACTTACTAGTTGTGCACACTGGTGAAATTAAGTTGTTGTAAGTGGTTGTTGTAGGAGTTGTGTTGCGCGGGTGATGTAGCAGTAAGTGGTGATGATGGAGTCGTTGTAGTTTGCAGTACTTGTAGCGGTAGTACAGCAGTTGTTGTAGTTGTAGTAGTTGTGGTAGTAGTTGTAGAGGTAGTTATTGTAGTGGTAGTAGTTGTGGTAGTTGTAGTGGTAGTTGTTGTAGAGGTAGTTATTGTAGTTGTAGTAGTTGCGGTAGTTGTTGTAGTGTTAGTAGTTGTGGTAGTTGTTGTAGTGGTAGTTGTTGTAGTGGTAGTAGTGTTAGTAGTTGTGGTACTTGTTGTAGTGGTAGTTATTGTAGTGGTAGTTGTTGTAGTGGTGTTAGTAGTTGTGGTAGTTGTTGTAGTGGTAGTTGTAGTTGTTGTAGTGGTAGTTGTTGTAGTGGTGTTAGTAGTTGTGGTAGTTGTTGTAGTGGTGTTAGTAGTTGTGGTAGTTGTAGTGGTAGTAGTGGTAGTTGTTGTAGTGGTAGTTGTTGTAGTGGTTATAGTGGTAGTAGTGGTAGTTGTTGTAGTTGGTAGTTGTTGTAGTGGTGTTAGTAGTTGTGGTAGTAGTTGTAGTGGTGTTAGTAGTTGTGGTAGTTGTTGTAGTAGTGGTAGTTGTTGTAGTGGTAGTTGTTGTAGTGGTGTTAGTAGTTGTGGTAGTTGTAGTGGTAGTTGTTGTAATGGTGTTAGTAGTTGTGGCAGTTGGTAGTTGTTGTAGTGGTAGTTGTTGTAATTGTTGTAGTGGTAGTTGTTGTGGTGGTGTTAGTAGTTGTGGTAGTTGTAGTGGTGTTAGTAGTTGTGGTAGTTGTTGTAGTGGTGTTAGTAGTTGTGGTAGTTGTTGTAGTAGTGGTAGTTGTAGTGGTAGTTTTTGTAGTGGTGTTAGTAGTTGTGGTAGTTGTTATAGTGGTAGTTGTTGTGGTAGTAGTTGTAGTGGTGTTAGTAGTTGTGGTAGTTGTTGCAGTGGTAGTTGTTGTAGTGGTGTTAGTAGTTGTGGTAGTTGTTGTAGTGGTAGTTGTTGTAATGCTGTTAGTAGTTGTGGTAGTTGTAGTGGTGTTAGTAGTTGTGGTAGATGTTGTAGTGGTAGTTGTTGTAGTGGTAGTTGTTGTACTATTGGTAGTTGTTGTAGTGGTAGTTTTTGTAGTGGTGTTAGTAGTTGTGGTAGTTATAGTGGTAGTTGTTGTGGTAGTTGTAGTGGTAGTAATTGTAGTGGTGTTAGTAGTTGTGGTAGTTGTTGTAGTGGTAGTTGGTGTAGTGGTAGTTGTTGTAGTGGTGTTAGTAGTTGTGGTAGTTGTTGTAGTGGTAGTTGTAGTGGTAGTAGTTGTAGTGGTGTTAGTAGTTGTTGTAGTTGTTGTAGTGGTAGTGGTGTTAGTAGTTGTGGTAGTTGTTGTAGTGGTAGTTGTTGTAATGGTGTTAGTAGTTGTGGTAGTTGGTAGTTGTTGTGGTCGTTGTTGTAGTGGTGTTAGTAGTTGTGGTAGTTGTTGTAGTGGTGTTGGTAGTTGTGGTAGTTGTTGTAGTGGTAGTTGTTGTGGTAGTAGTTGTAGTGGTGTTAGTAGTTGTGGTAGTTGGTAGTTGTTGTAGTGGTAGTTGTTGTAGTGGTAGTTGTTGTAGTGGTGTTAGTAGTTGTGGTAGTTGTTATAGTGGTAGTTGTTGTGGTAGTAGTTGTAGTGGTGTTAGTAGTTGTGATAGTTGTTGTAGTGGTGTTAGTAGTTGTGGTAGTTGTTGTAGTGGTAGTTGTTGTAATGGTGTTAGTAGTTGTGGTAGTTGGTAGTTGTTGTGGTCGTTGTTGTAGTGGTGTTAGTAGTTGTGGTAGTTGTTGTTGTAGTGGTGTTGGTAGTTGTGGTAGTTGTTGTAGTGGTAGTTGTTGTGGTAGTAGTTGTAGTGGTGTTAGTAGTTGTGGTAGTTGGTAGTTGTTGTAGTGGTAGTTGTTGTAGTGGTAGTTGTTGTAGTGGTGTTAGTAGTTGTGGTAGTTGTTATAGTGGTAGTTGTTGTGGTAGTAGTTGTAGTGGTGTTAGTAGTTGTGATAGTTGTTGTAGTGGTGTTAGTAGTTGTGGTAGTTGTAGTAGTGGTAGTTGTTGTTGTAGTAGTAGTTTTTGTAGTAGTGTTAGTAGGTGTGGTAGTTGTTATAGTGGTAGTTGTTGTGGTAGTAGTTGTAGTGGTGTTAGTAGTTGTGGTAGTTGTTGTAGTAGTAGTTGTTGTAGTGGTAGTTGTTGTAGTGGTGTTAGTAGTTGTGGTAGATGTTGTAGTGGTAGTTGTTGTACTATTGGTAGTTGTTGTAGTGGTAGTTTTTGTAGTGGTGTTAGTAGTTGTGGTAGTATTAGTGGTAGTTGTTGTGGTAGTAGTTGTGGTGGTGTTAGTAGTTGTGGTAGTAGTTGTAGTGGTGTTAGTAGTTGTGGTAGTTGTTGTAGTGGTGTTAGTAGTTGTGGTAGTTGTTGTAGTGGTAGTTGTTGTAATGCTGTTAGTAGTTGTGGTAGTTGTAGTGGTGTTAGTAGTTGTGGTAGATGTTATAGTGGTAGTTGTTGTGGTAGTAGTTGTAGTGGTGTTAGTAGTTGTGGTAGTTGTTGTAGTGGTAGTTGTTGTAGTGGTGTTAGTAGTTGTGGTAGTTGTTGTAGTGGTAGTTGTTGTAATGCTGTTAGTA